AACATCACGTTCTCATTTTTTTTCTTTACATTACATATATTTATTAATACATCAAACCGATATACTTTTTAGATTAACTGAATAACAAAACAAAAATATAACAATTAAACAAATACAACAAATCAAATTTTGTGAATTTTTTGTTTGACGTTTGAATTGATAATATATTAATCAATTGTCGTTTTGCTTACATAAATTTTGTAAGCGGCAAGTGGACGGAATTGGATTCCGAAAACGAAAACATGTTTAGCGTTCGGCGCGCTCTGCGAACAGGACTCATCCGATTATCTAGGATTAGCGCGTATTTATATTCCAGTCGTAGACTTCAAATCAGATCTTAACGTTTGATCCTTGAGGTTAATAATCATTCATTGCCACGTAAATCCATTAAAATTTTAGATATGTATCAACAAAAAGCAACACAATGAACTGTTTGTATATATTTAGTTTAAATTATTTGCAAAATATTCGAATAAAACATAAAATAACTAACTTGTAATGCAAGCATTTAATGAATGTAATCTATGTATCAAGTAATTTGCAATTCCAATTAAAATTAAAGAGGTGTCCATAGTTTTCACGGAACTTAAAATTCAAGTCAAATGGCATCGACCCGAGTGTTGAGCCCGAAGCCAACTATTAAGATATTATTTATTTTTGCTATATAATAAATGTTATTAACCGAAAATTCAAAGTCAAATTTATTAGTGTCGAAATAATGCTAATTGCAGCATGGATTATTGCGAAAGCATAAATTGCGAGCGAGTCGTCTAACTTCTATTTTTATATGTACAAGCAAGGTTTGAATTTTATTGATCGCACTCATGGGTATTCGCAAATTCTATATTCTCTATTTTATTCACATTTTTATATTATATACAAGATTGTGAATATTCCTTATAACGTTCATTTATTTATTTATTGTCACTTTGATCAAAGTTCATCTCCGTTAATACTATTTGATTGTATTCAATAACTTTTTGATAATAAAAATCGGATATTAAAAAAATATATCTTAACAGGTATAAATCTACTATTAAATTTGATTTAAAATGTTTGTTTAGCTCTGAGCATTCACACTTTAAATACACATACATTTAGCGTCACGTTTATTGATTAACAAATAAACGTTTCCACAATTGTTGTATTTATACACATTTGATATAAATCAATCAACGGTCAATTAATTATTTAAATGTGTAAATTGAAAAAAAAAATAACGTTTTGTAAATTCGAAAATCGGAATCTTCATGTCCATTTTTTTTTCAATTTGTTGAATAATTAACGTAGTTGAATATAATCCAAATGCATGAAAAGCATATAGCACATTTCCATCATGATTGAATAAATAAATAATCGTCGCTTTTCAAATGAGTTTCAGCAATGGTAGCTTTTAGTATGAATAAATAAACTCACGCATTCATTTCGCACATTGTAATAATCAACATTTCAAAAATATACTTCATATAAAAATTGAAACTTTTGTTTGTGAAAATCCTACATAATTGTATAATAAATATATCATAATTGAATAGAAAAATAAGTGAATTAATGAAAATGAAGAGGTGGAAAGTATGATTACAAAAAATAATGTGGAAATAAGAGAAAAGGGCAACACAATCCACCTTGAAGAAAAGAAGAAACAAGAAAAGTAAATGCTACTGTTTGGATACAGTGGCAACCGAACTTCCGTTTTAATCAGATTAGGACAGCTTACAGCATGAAACTATTATAATCTGGATTTAAAGCAATGCCGCCATCGAACGGTAGTCACCGGATGAGGAGTAGAAGTAGAAGCAGTGGATTATTTAAATCGATTTTAAAGTTTTTGTTGGTTTAAATGAAATTTCATTGCTAAACGAGTGAAACGAGAGGAGCGGAAGAAGCAGGAGCCTTCCGTAATTGCCTTGAAGCTCCAGGTAATTAAGAGACCATACGATTTCTCGCAGCAGTATTTCGCTGCTAATTTATATTAATTAGTGTAAAAAGGAATGTTATCGCCCGGCTGATAATTTTTGTCTTTTTTGTTTGTTTGCAGTGTGTTTTGTGGATGCCCGACACCCGGGTTTCAATGTAATTTGCCGTTCGTTTATTGTGTTTATCCCTCGGGTATAAAAAGCTGCGGGGGCTATTTTTACGCGACTTGTAATGGATAGAGAAATGGTGTGTGTGTGTGTGTTAAGGGGTGAGGAGATGAGGGCGGAAGGAGGGCGCAGAGTCGCACGTGCTCTCCGTCGTCGCCGTTCTCTTGCTCGCCGTCCCTACAACATCCTTCTCGCACGCCCTCACTTCTCTTCTGCAGACTCAAAACGGAACGCTAAATGATTGTCGACATTAATTTGATAAATAGTGTCCTCGCCGGTTTCAAATCTTAATTAAAACAACCATCAGTCGCTGAGAACCGGGCGCACTTGCACCGGGACTTCTTAAATCTTTAATAATACGTGAAAACACGAAATTACTTTTCCACACACACCGAAAGGACTTAATTAAACTCGGTGCTTTAATTTACACATCCTGCGTACATCCTATTCTTTCATCCTCCCCGCTGTTTTTACTGTCCGGAAGCTTTCTTCTCTCTTCTTCATCGCCTTTCTTTTCAGCACCTTCTCCGTTCTTTTTTTTTTCTCTCTCTCTCTCTCTTTATTTTGACAGCGCAAAACGATTCAGAGCCTTGACAGATTGAACCTTCCTCCAACGTGCTTCCCCTTACACACAGTTTCTTTCAAGAATTCTATAAACAGATGGCCGTAATCCCAATTTTTTTACTTTCCCTTGAACCTTCCTAGTATTCACGGTTTATGATTCCAAACTTTTAATTCACCTTCAAATTCTACTAATAATAATTAACGAAAACATCTATTGTACTTTTCTTCTATACTTATCTATAATACTTCGAATAGTCTACTACATAACATAACTCAATTTACCTCGTTGTTTTTTTCCATAATTAAGGCCACTTTCTTAAGTGCGGATGTCGTTTACTCAAAGGAGGTCTTGAGAACAATTGTCAAATGCAGTGAAGTCACCAATTAATAAACATAACAAATATGAATCTAGTATTATTATTCATGAAATATTTCAATCAATACTCAAATCTATAATGATTTATTAATAGAGAATAATAACAGCATATTTTAGAAAGAAATTGAATGCATTATGTTGACGTAATTGCGTTCTCAAGACAGAAAGGTCTATTATGTAAGAAGAACGTATATGTTATATAAATAATATGTTCTTTCTCGTGTACTATTAATCGTTTTATAAATATAAAGCTAGTAGATTGTTTGTTGTTGTAATTTGCTTGTTTTAAGATTCGTGAATGAAGCACAATCTTTGATTTACTGGTTATCCTTACAAATAAGATTAATTTGCATTAATCCTTTTTCTTTTTAAATACACGATTAGATAATTTAGATTTATATAATAGATAGAAGCAGTAGTGCTTACAATGAAAGTAAAACGATGTTTGAATAAGTAGTATTTGCGAATGGAATTAACTTAAAACAAATATTATCGGTGTAGTTAATATGGGTTATCTGCGCGTTTCCGTTAAAGTTTCAAAAGATTATTGGAAAACAAAGTCAAGTGTATTATTCTGTTTTGTTGAAATACATTAAAGAATGCGCTCACGTACTACTTACATATTTATACAACAAAAAAAAAGAAGTAACATCCCTAACGAAATTAGAAAGCTCAAATTCGTACACTTTCACTAGTTTTCAATTCAATACCGCCGTCTTATTTCGTTCCCAACGACAAAACGTAAACGCGAAATTTCTATTCATTTTCTAAACCCGAAGAGACAAATAAATAAAAAATAGAGCGAGAAAGAGAGAGAGAGAATTTCTAGTCTACGGAATTTCGGTAATTACTCTCGCAGATGGGAATCCCATTCTTCGTGTCTCTCCTTCTCCTTCTTCAGATCCTGCTCCTTGTATCATCGAGTCGAGTTCGAGCCGGTGCAAAAAGCCGAGGTCATTAAATCGTTTGAATTTATATCGGCTGTAATTCGCGAGTTTCATGTTGCTGCGATGCTCGTTGGGAGAGAGCAAACAGATTTGCGTTCCGTGTAATCGAAACCAATTAAATCAATTCTGTCCTTTAGAACTGGCGAACACTGCGAAACAATTAAGATTTCAAAAGTTTTCGTAGACAGGTATGTACGTTTATGCGGAAATACGAGTCTGAATAGAGCAAGGCGCCGTTTGACCCGCTTTTTGAACCGTTAGAATTGTAGACGGTTTCTACATCCAGTTCATATATATATTCATACAACATTTTTTTTCACTGCTTTTGCTTCTATATTTTCTGTATCATCAAATTAATACAATTGATTATTAAGAACATAAACGTTTCATTTTACAATAATTCTTTCAAAACACAAGACAAATTGTCTCAAATTAATCAAATTCTGCAAAATACAAATTGTGCGATGACTCTTACTAGTTTTAAATTTGTTAGGAATGAATATGTCTCATCGCGTGTTAGATCACACTTTTTAATTGATCTGTGTCGACTTAAGCATCTATATTCATAGATGTATCATGTATTTGTAAAAACTGTCTCCTTGAATAGAAGTTAATGGTTCGAGAACCTTTGAAACTTTATCGACCTTGTATCGAAGTCAATGGGAGATTTATTTATTTGAATTCAAGTATTTTGCCCAATAAATTGTATTAAAAGTATTTCGATCATAATGTTAACATTGAGATGTTACTTTTTTATTGGATAATTGTAATAAGCGAATTTACTTTGCGCTGGAAATGCAATCAGGATACGATCAGGGCCTGTGCAATTTGATGAATGGGTTAAATCGAGATCCGGGATGAGAATGAAGTGCCGAAAATAAATGGTCGGCTGAGCTAAATCATCTTCTCGGCGAAAGGTAAATATTATGTACATTGAGGAAAAATGAAGTGAACTTTTCTTTGAAAAAAATAACCAAAGGGTAAATAAAAGAAAAAAGGATGAAGTAAATAAATAAAATGATAACTTACTTTGTGCACAAGGGTCTCCAGTGACCCTGCAAAGAATACTCTAATTATTGGTTTGTTTAAGGTGAATATACAGCAGTCAGGTAAATATCACTTGTGAAGAAGAAACGCGGCGGCGCGAACACAATGCGAGGCGCTGATTGAAATGCGAGAAAAGACTCATCTCATTCATTCATTCATTCATATTTGTCGTCGTTTTCTTTTCTTGATATTTCTCTTGTTCTTTAATATTTCATCTCGTGTGTCGGAAATTTGTAAACAATAATTTCGAACGCGTCGCGACACGTCGCCTAATCTACGTAAGCTATTGTTTTAATTTCGTTAAGTTGGACTTGTTCCAAAGCAATAATGTCGGGCAGAAGTTCAAGTCTCATGCAGAACAAATTAGTGTTGGGGGGCTGTTTCGCTCACTGTGCTTGCAACCGGCTCTCTGATATTCTCCGTCTCCCTCTCTCTCTCTCTGTCTCTCTCTCTCCTCCACACATATCGATGGGTAGGCGCGCTTCGCATCCCTCTCGCACCCACTTCACTAGCTACCGTTTCGCTTGCTACTAGCTACTTCTTTAAATATGCACAAACTTTGCTCGAACGAAATACGGTTTCGTTTCCAACAACTCACACACACACACTCATCCCCCTCAGACACATCCGCCCCTCGGCTTTATATCCCTCAATTCAAAACCACCCTCGGAATTATCGCAACGCGATTATATATTTGCTTTAACAACTCGCGTTACGTTAAATTTGTTTTAATGGAGATATTACACGGTCGAAATTTATCCTCACACCTGATTCATTTAGGATGATGAATGCGAAAAGGAACAGAAAAAAAACAGCAACAGCCACACCTATCCAATATATATACACCCCGCGCGCATTGATTCGGAGCAGTCAGATTTATTCATGAAAGATTAAAAATTTAATTTTCAACCCCGGGTAACAAATCGGAATTTAGTGAGCTAATGCACCTGTTCCCGAGTGCTAAGGGCAAGTTGCCCGATAATATCTACAATGCTAATAAGCTTTTATGCAAATTCAACCCCTTCGCAAGCATAAAAATCAAGCAAAACACGCCAGTTTGCGCAGCTTCGAAACAGTAAACAGGAGGAAGTAATAATAAAAATAAACACGTTACGAAGCCTACGATTATGGTTAAATAGACAATAGACAATGGGTTTTGAAGGAACACGCGCACCGATCAATAAAAACGGTTCCATATGTACTCTCACTTCTTCCTGTGAACGATGATGATGATGGTAGATTGAGGACAGTGACGACGAGCGTTGTCCTAAATCAGGACACTATTGTTGCAATTAATAAGTAGTACGAACTTTACTTCTCCCGCGTATAGCGCGCATACCTCGTGCGAGAGCTGTAAATAAACGGCTGTTGCAATCCTCGGACCTTGCGTATACACAGACACACACATCTATCTGATCCACGTATCAGAGAAGCAAGGCCGGATTTTCACTTTAAGCGTTCGCAGCAGCTCGAATCCATCATACGGTATTTTTCACGTACAATTTCGACACGGAATCCACTTCGATTCAGCAAAAATGCGCCGCGCCGCACACTTTATACCCTTCACATTTGATATCAGAAAAAGGTTTAAATATGTAATATGTTTGCATTATTTTCACGTAAACTTAATTCTGATTTAAACTATTTCAAAAAATGAAGTTAAATCCTCCAGAGCAATGTGTTAATAATTCAAAAGTTCGATACTGAAACTTTTCACTGAAAGTTGTAATTGCATGTACATATTATTGGAGCGCAATATGCAAATAACAATTGAAGTTTAATTTGTATATTTCCTAGACTTTTGCACTCAAAAATTATCATTTTAATTTAAACTATTGAATATAAATTTTATAATTTCAATGAGTTTTAAATCACTTTGTAAGCGCTGACGCTATTCATAATTTACGAGTATTTAATTACTTTGTAAGTATTGACTGTTTCGGTATGTATTTTACAAATTGAAATCTTATTCTTCGAATTCTCAAATTATCATTGCAATATACATTTTATGGTTTCTGTTCAATGTTTTTAATTACTTTGTAAGTACTGCAGATTTTATTTTTATCTAAGAAAAACAAATATTATGTGAGAGGAAAAGAGTTATTTTATAGAAATCTTGGGCTTTTTGTCGTATGAATAATACATAATGCCCACGTCTAGGGCGGCAAGATCTAGGTCGGCGGTTATTTGGCTTCAACTGAATGTTAGCCAATAAAGATTGTTATTAGGATATAATTATATGAAAAACGATGAATTAACTAATTTCTTCCGTCGCCTCGAATTACGTGACAAACGCGTGTTATACTGCCCCATATATAATAACCGCAACAATTTTACAGCGAGACCATGCTAATCGAGCGTCGCATTATTAATAACTCGAAATAATAATAATAAACATTACATCGTTCGAATGATTTATGCGCGTCGGGCGATTTTAATCCAGCCGTAATTGTTTTAGGCGGTTCAGCATCTTAAAAACAACTTATTTGTACCGTTTAACCAACGCCCGAAGGCAATTCCGCCACGATTTTAATACTAGGTAATTCCGGCTTTCGCTTAATCTCACCAACAGATTTGTTCGTTTGTTGTGTGTGTGTGTGTGTACGGGTCAATTAAACTTGATATGTTTATTCAAACACTTTTCACTTTTATCTCATAACGATTGTTATGTTACGGATTTATTTGTAATGATGATTGTATAACGCAAGTCGGATTTTAAGCAACACTAGTAGGTTGCATTATTTGTGGCCGGTGTATTAGTTAAACGTTTTTTGTTTGCGGAATAAAAGGATTAAAGTAGTTAATGTGTTTCCGGCGGGAGGGTATAAAGTGGAAGCGAACGAGGGTGCACAAAGGGTTGCGGGTTACGACATACGGCGGCGCGGCGCGACTCGTTCCTTTTTTTTTTTAACGAATTAATGAATAAAACTGTTAAACAAAATATATGTATTTACCGGGAACGGTAAAAAAAAAGCAACAGCAAATTTTTGCACGTATGTATTGTAATGTGTATCGTGCAATAAACACAGTGCTCTAATCAAATTAATTAAAGCCCGATGAATAAATAAAACGGAGAGCTGAAAATATTTTCATACACACAGGCACTGCCCACGCGAATACATATATCTTTGTTATTGTAATTATCAATTTCATGATTGTAGTTCATTTTGTGTTGCAATGCGCCGTTTCGCAGAGCGTTGTGCTGCGCGTTTGTGCCCTCTCTCTCTCTGTATGTGTGTTTGTGTGTGGATGTTTGAGAGCGAGTTTGTGTGGATGGGGCGCGGGGGATGCGAGGGGCCCAAAGGGGAGCACGCCCGGTGGGTGTTGGCAGGGGTGGCCCAGCTTTACCAGGGATGAGATTGGTATATAACGTATTTGTCGATAAACCTATTGACTACATATCACAACAGCTAGAGCCTACATAAATATACATAACACACGGAGAGCCAAATACAACACTCGTATATTTACAACGAAGAGAGGCGGAGGCATTTCCATTATTTTTCCAACAATTTAATTAATGTCGCAAATATCTGTTAATATCATATCATATATCACGAGAAGATGAAGAAGAAGAAAGAAAAAAACACCTATTGAAGTAAAGATTTAGGTGGTAAAGCGCAACAGATTTTCAATGCGCGTTTTTTCGCCTTCGCTCCTCATCATCTCATCATCCTGTCTAACGTCTCGGCACTTTCAGAAAGGTTTTTTGGAAAGAGCAGCAAAGCTCCCTAAATTCTAGCTTCAGCAGCAGCAGCCACAACCCTCTTCATGCCGGAGGTTGTTCACCCATTCGATATTAAGGGGGCATCCGCCTCGGCAGCCGCGACACGAAAATATTAAAGCAGCAGAAGATGGAAAAAGAGAAAAATAAAAAGAACGAGAAGAATACAGTCAAGCTCTAAACCCCCTCCGTCGCCCCCCTTGAACCCGCTTACAAACCATTTAGGTAATTTAGGGTTCAAACGAATATATTTAGCCAAAAACCATTTGATATTTCTATATATATACATATATAGAAAGAGAGAAAGCTCACACCGAACATATGACACGACATCCTGCAGATCATTTTTTTTTGTTCATGAGCGCTCACAACATCGATTCGAAATTCAGATTTTCATCAACTTACGCTGCTTAATCGATTACCCGATTTGATTTTTATTTTATTTTTTTTTTGTTCCTATCATCATCTGCTCCAAACACGCGCGCTTCTGCTCTCGCTACTCACCTGCAACAAAGAGAGAAAAAAATACCGTGAGTTAATTAAAACACATTTAATAAATCCACGTGCGCCCACAGACGCAGGAAGTGAAACTTTTTCAGTTCGTAAATTAAAACATAATTAGGTTTTCATTTGTTGCTGGATCAATATCTGTTATATTCATTGTTTTTAAAACGCACACTTCCTCAATCAAATACAGTTTAATCTAATACAAATAATACAAATTTAAATCATAATAAAATACGATTATTTGTGTCACATTTAATTGTTCCATTTAATTGTTCACTTAGTGACGTTTGCACTTGACTTAAGAACCATTTTCATTCAATTTTTACCATATGGTGATGCTCTTTAATATCACGCTGAAGCAGTTGTTTCTGCCACACATTTTTCATTTCACAATTCAGTGAATCTTGGATCATTAGTTCAAATTAATAACACATGTTATATATAATTATTTTTTTTCACTTCCTTCGTTATAATATAATTTTATCAACTTTCATTATATTACTGCATTTCATTACAATAATACTATTTATGTATATTATCGATTAAATTTTATGTAATATAATAAATGATTTAGTTGATTATATATCAACACACTAAATTTGTTAATATTTTGCCAATTTTATTCAGCAAAATATTTATTTAATGTGTTTCGTTTAATTCAAACAAATAAACAATGTTTACCTTAATTATTATTATTATTTCCCGAAATTATATGACCATTAAATGTTGTAACAATCACTAAACTGTTTTCACTCTCCTATTGTGTTCACTTATAAT